CTGACTTGTGCAGGACTAGGATGTGAACAAAACCAGAGACATACATTACAAAGTCTCTGACAAAACTAATACATGTACTAGTCACCGCACGTCCTTTAACAATGAGCAAATCATATATGTACCATATAATAAGCTATAAAAGGCAATAATTACTTTAGATAATAGTCCACTCACTGCATTATTTATCCGGAAACAAGCAAAAAGAAATAGAACCATACCCCTTTGACAACCTCCCCCAACTGACGCATGCGCGCCATATACCTTCATCATCATTGTTCCTGGAATTACCACGCAACAAAGGGGGATGAAGGGGAGGGAACGGGACCTCTGATTTATGAAGGTGAGTGTTTAATTTACAAAAGTAAATTCTAATTCTAAGAATTTTATTGTTATTACATTAAATACCTCACCTTCATAAATTTAGATAAATAAAATTTATCAAAGCGCTGAATCCACCTCACCAGGAGGAAGAAAAAAACCTGTTGCGCCGCAACCAAAGGTCCTAAAGAATAGAGGTTGTCACAATGATTGCGCATGGAACGTAGATAATGGTTAAATAAGGCGCCATCTGACCTCCAAAAACCAGCTTGCATAATTTCCGACAAAAATGGTGAAAAATGCGCATCTGGTCAGGGACTTTCTATATTAACTTTTAGAAAGTCCCTGATCTGGTGCAGAAAAAAATGGTACCGTTTATGTTATTATAAATATTCCACGAAGAGGCTAAGGCTCTAACTTCATGAGTTTTAACTTTAACTAATCAATACTTTAGATGAAAAAGACTTATAGGCCAACATGACAATATTGCACATCCAGGTAGAAATGGTTTTGGCAGAATTGTCAGAAATTCACTTTTCAATAGGAACAAGCTTTCTGTGAGTATTGTATGGCAATACATAGTCCTCTACCGATTAAAAATTCATTGTATTGGAACAAAATTCTAACTTGATCTATAACTTGTCATGGTGTAAACTATATAACAAATATCAAGTCAATATCTTGAAGCATGACGAAAACAAGTGTTGAAAACTGATTATTTAAGTGAATTTTCAAAGTCCAAGGATCATAACTCTGCACAAAATCATCAGACCGAAACAAAATTCAAACTTGATCTGTAACTTGTCATGATAAAACTATATACCAATTTTCAAATCAATATCTTCAAGCATGACGAAAAAAAGTGTTGAATACTGATTATTTAAGTGAATTTTCAAAGTCCAAGGACCATAACTCTACACAAAATCATCAGACCGGAACAAAATTCGATCTTGATCTGTAACTTGTCATGATAAAACAATACACCAAATATCGAATCAATATCTTTAAGCATGAAGAAAAAAATTGTGGAAAACTGATTTGCCGGACGGACTGACAGACAGACAGACAGACGGACGGAGTGCAAATCTATAGTCCCCTTCGACTTCGTCGGTAGGGGACTAAAAAGAAGCCAGGTATAAAAGCAAAGTTCTCACAGGACACAAGATCTGATTACCTGCAGAAGAAGGTATGGTAGGAACAGTGATTAACCCAGAACCTTTTTCAGGTAATTGATATTTAGCTAACAAGGCAGGATCAGTGAGAAGAGTGACTAGGGACTCAACAGTGCAATCAGGAGACAAGACTAAGAAAAAGACAAGGCACGAATTTCACTCCTTCTACGACCAGTTGCCAAAGCTACCAGAAAACAACATTTATAAGATAAATGTTTGAAAGAGGCTGAATGCAAATGTTCAAAAGAAGGATACCGAAGAACCTTCAAGACTAAACCCAGGTCCCAAGAAGGCGCCAAACGCCTTTGACGAGGTCTTTCAAGGCAAAAGTTTTTAATCAATAAGGTAAAAAATATCATTATCGCCAAATTCTGAACCTCCAGAAAGAGATATAGTTCTGGCTATGGCAGATCTATATCCCTTAATATCAGAAGGAGCATAACCCTTGTCTGCATAGAGATGAAGGAAAAATTCATCACTGTTGAACAGTAAATTAGAGAGGATCAATTTGTCTAGACAAACACCAAGAACAAAAAATTGACCATTTGGAGTCATAAACGAATCCGATAGACTGCCTAATTGACCCAGAGATACGCTTGACTGCTCCTATAGAAAAGTCTCCCTTTTTGAGGGAATTCCTGATAGTAATCAAGCGTGCAGATGAAGATTTGTGAGGCCCTGCTGAATCTTTCTACCCTTGAAATAAGAAAATAGATCGTGACGAAATGGTTTGGAACCAGAAAGAAGAAGTGTAGATCTGGAAACCACGACTGTATTGGCCCTCTAGATAAGCTCCCCAACCCATCAAGCTTGCATCGTTGAACAGAGATAGAATGGGGTCTGGAGGGTCGAACAATACAATACAAAAGATTTTCTTCCTGGAGCCACCACTGCAGATGAAGTTACAACCGAGGAAGAATTTGAATAGGTGCATCCCAAAGCTGAGAAACTGGGTGCCAAAGCTCCGACAGATACCACTGATTTTGGACGAATGTGAAGTCGATCTAGTGGATGACATCCATGACGGATATCAAGAAACCGACCAGCTGAGAAAACTGGCGAACTTAGACAGTTGAAACCTGCAACAGGGCACCGATCAGCTGATGCACCTTGATAACTTTCTCCTCTTGAGGAAGAACTAATCCCATATCTCTTTGCAAATGTTCTCCCAGGAAAATCAAATTTTGACTGGGGATCATCTTTGATTTTTCCCATGAATTAAAAAAAAACAGTACATTGGTAGCCATTTCCTCCAGAAAAGAACGGGTATGATTCTTGGTTAGAAAATCGTTTAGGTAGGAATGAATTAGCACCGCCTTAGAATGCAAGTAAGATACCACCGTTTGAAAAGTCCTAGTGAAAACTAGGGGAGCAGTAGAAAATCCAAAAGGTTTAACCTTGAAGCTGAACACTTTGCCTACCCAAACCAGTCTCAGGAAATGACGAAACTTGGGAGAAATCGGGATGTGAAAATATGAATCCGTCAAGTCTAGAGATGTCGTCCAAATCCCTGTATGAAGAGACGACCTGATTGACCTGTTGGTTTCCATTTTGAAGTGGGGGACCAACAGATACTGATTCAGAACAGAAATGTATAGAGCCGGTCTCATTTTTCCAGGAATAAAAACCTAGATGGAAAGGAGGATTAACCTCTTCCAACACACCCTTCTGAACTAGCATATTCATCTTGTCTTGTAACAACTGATTCTTTTGAGAATCCTTTGTCAGAGACAGATCGATTGGAACAGGAGAAAGAGGCGGCAGTTCCAAAAAACTGAAGCTCCAATCCCCTCCGTAAAATCGAAAGAATCCACTTGTGAATTGTTTACTTGTCTAAAGTTATCAGAGACCATTGTACAGAAAGTGGGAAAGCCTGTCCCCACTGGAAGATGAGGAAGATAAGCAGGTAAAATTTCCTCTTTCATTGGAAATAGATCTAACGGAGGTGACAACACATCACTTACCCTTCTTCATGCCCTTTCAAACTTTGGCTTTCTTGCCAACAGAAAGGTTAGGACGACAATCAGCTGATCTCTTCATGGCCTGTGAAGAAGACGAAGATGAAGAAGCCTTGGGCTGACGATTAGAAGAAGACTTGTTGGACTGAGAGGTCTTGACATTTTTTTTCCCATCAATAACCTTGACATCAACCCTGACAACAGGAGGTGCGTTATTCGCCTTTTCTGGAGCTGATCCGAAGAAATAGAGAACAAATTGTCCTTAGACAAAAGCGAACTGAGACGACTCTCCTGACAAGCCTCTGAAACAGTAGATTAGCCAAGAATGTTGTGTCTCCTAGGAATAGTAAAGTTGGCCAAGGTGTCAAGAAGAAGGAATTGAAAGGTACCAAGGCTCTTATCTACCTGTAAGAGCATGGACTTCAATTCAGAGAACTCTTCTCTTTTGTCATTCAGAAGAGACCCAGCTGAAGCTAAAAAATGTTCAGCTGTCTCCAGAACATTGCACATACTAGTAATCCTGACATTATTCTCCGACTTAACATAGGAAGACTGAGAAAGTCTCAGCCCGTCAACAGGTTTAGTACATAATAAAGCTGAAAAAAAACCTTACCACAAACTGGAACATACTTACCCAAGGATGATCCATGAATATCAAAATTCCTAGATCTTATCTTCCTAGGATAAGAGTTAGGTCCAACACCAGCGAACTTGCTCCCACTAGTTTTGGTAGTGTTAGCATTGTTCCCAGCAAAAGATTTGTTAACAAAAGACAAAGCAACTTTTATGTGCCAAACTTTTCCTTGTAATTTGTGTATATATACCTCAGAAAATGTATCATTTTATGCATAGGATAAGACTTTTTGTTATTCCGTATTGGAATTCTGTATAGCTTTTACTTTTTTTCAAGCGCATAATTTCGACCATTTCAGATGAATAACTTTTTCACATTTTGAACTTCGAGCCATTTGTTAGATTTTTATTTATTAGAAAAACTGATTTAAAGGATAAATATACGTTCTTCGTATTATTAAGCTTGATACTTTTTTTTATCTTTTAAAATAACCACAAGGAATAGGGAAAGGGTATTTTGCACCGTTTGTTATTTTAAGCAGTCACCAGATGTATGCCTGGTGTCTTTTCTATCAATTATACATATGATCTGCATCAATGTTCTTTAATATTTAGCCCCTACTTAAATAAAAAGAACACAGTACAAGGACTTTCTTATCACCGGCACATTGTCAGGACAATTTCTTTTGATGGACTTGTACCAGTTTTGCAATACGATTTTATTTCAAATAAACAGTTATATTTATGAAAATGTGTTCTTAATCCACTGTTAAACTACGGACGAGCATGGTTTACATATACACAACAAGTGTTTCTAGAATATAACTTTCATAAGATACGCTTGAGACCAATACTTTGGAACTAAAACAATCAAATGTTGCAGAGAACAAAAACCAAATGAGCCGAAACTGTACAGGAAAAATCACCAAAGGTTAACTTTGACTAAGGGAGTTGCAACGTATATAACAAATAACATTAATTTATCAACTGAAAATTTATTATAGACAAAATATATCACACACGTTATTCATCCTTTCATGCCAGCCTGATGTTATGTGTTCCAATTTTCATTGTTAAAGTACTCGTATACATCTATAATACTAAAGGAACGAATTTGCCAGATTTTCAGGAAAAAAGCTTGGCTCAAACCGAAAGAGATTTGGATTGTGCATGCAGGTCTCGCATTAGCACATTTATTCGTACAAGCATAAACCATATTTCCGTTTTTTTTACAAATGCATTTTGTTCATGCACGTTTGGAAACTGAATTCTTCCAACCGTAGAAAATGCTAGAATTTCAAGACGTTAGAAATATTCATGTTGTGTTTGACCGTTGTTTAGTTTGCAAGTTACATTCTTCCAGGCCCCGTTGTATTCCGTTTAATCAATAATTACATGTTCTTACAGTTGATAAATTCGGGGTTTTCCCGATACGCTTCAAATGTTATTAGTGCTGTCTTCCTTCGACCCGTAACAGTTTTAAAAATAGTATAGACTGACAAAGAAATTCAATGCCCATGGTATAATCAAGATAATTGATCAGGCCTGACCAGCGATGGTTGCATGTTTGAATCAAGAAGATATTTCATTTACTGGTATATTCAATTGGCGTACATCAAAACTAAATTATCATTGGCAAGAAAAAATTGTCATCTTCTTAAAATGATCGAACACCCACAAAAAGCCACATTCATCTAAAGTGATATGATTTGTTTTATATATGATTTTATCACCATTTTTATTATTCAGCAAGTTTCGCTGAAAAACACCGCCCTCAGATAAAATATCGATAAAATCCTTCTCATAGTCCGCTACAAAAATTTGTCCGTAATTATCTACAGTTAAACCTCGGAATTTTGCACCTTTTCGTTCAAATGTCTCAAGAATTGTCCCATGTTTATCAGCGATAACAACAATGTTGTTGCGTGATGAAAAAACAAGATTTGAGTTCGAAGTTTCCGCCATCAAAATAGTTTCGCCGGTAAAAACGTGAATGTTCCGCAGTTTCTTTGTTGGATCTTCGATTTTTATTTTGTTACGAACACCTTCTTGTTCTGTTACTTCATAAAATACTTCTTCGTCCATATTATACACAAGTAAATTTCCACTTTGAATGAAACAACCAACCAACCCACCTTCAAATGGGACTTTGTATCCATCTCGAAATTGTGTATTTACTTTCTTCGCTGCAGACTGTCCAGTCCAGAACCATAATTCATCTGCAGATTTTTTAAGCATTCGTTTGCTTTCGACTGGTGGTGTAAACGTAGAACTCACAACCCCATTGCGATTATAGAGACTAACTAAATTCTCCGTGAATATCCACGTATTGTATTTATTGGCTGCAACGATATCTATGATTTTGTTTGAAAGTGTAAAAGTATGTTCTTTGTTCGCTTCAGGGAATATTGCAGGCATTGGCAATTTTTGGTATAAAGGGGTAATAACATTTCCTATTGCACAAACATTTAGTTGTCCAAATAATTGTTCAATAGTCGAAGTATTGAATTCGCCACTTTCGTATTTCAAGTAATTTAAAGAAAAAGACCTTCCCGTTTTGTTCAGAACTTTGTCAAGATGACAAGCAATGGTTAAAAGACCATCCGTAAACTGTTCATCTGAAGAACTGTTTATGAAACCCTCAGTTGTCTTGATAAGACCAGCAAGTGACAATTGTTCTGTTTCTATCTCATTCAAGTAAGTATTAATTACTTTAACATCTTTCTTTTTAATGATGTCGATTCTAGCCAAACTTTTGTTTGTCAGTATATCGACGGTATTACAAAATACATCTTTAACACTTGTAGCGTGTGCAATTATATCTTTCTTCGCTATGTTACAGTGTTTGTGATACATATTTTCCTCTTGTTGAACCAATTCTTCGGTGTTTTTGAGAACTGATATTCTCGATTTCAAGCTTGCTGTTCTGGTCAATAAAAGTTTCTTCCTAGTCTGAATTAATAGTGTCAAGTTCTGGAAATCGTGCATACAATGGGATTTTTCCGAACATTCACTACATAACAAGATATTACAAGGCTTACACAATAACGTCAACTCTTTTCTATGTTCCTCACATTCTTTTATTGACTTCACATTGTGTTTGTCCAATTGATCTACTTTCAAGTTCTCCAGCGAGTGATTCTGTGACGTTTTTATTTTCCTATGGTAATCACGACAGTTCAAACATAAATTTATCTTACAGTCAAGACATTTAGCTACTGCAGTATTTTCTTCAGAACAAAATTCGCAAATGTCTGTGGAGTTATTGGCTCTGTGAGGTTGTTCAAATTTGAAAGAATAAGATTTTAAACCGCTTACCCCTTTGTCTGGTATAGAAATGTGTGTCCTACATAACGGACAAGTCAGATAATTGTCATGAACATCCAGTTTTTCGAGACATGGTGTGCAAAAAGAATGGAAACAGTCCAAAAGTCGCGGTTCTGTATACGGTGACAAACAAATCCCACATTTTGATTCGATTTCTGAATAGTTCCCATGCGCCATATCAACTTGATCTTTGAAGCCTGGCAACACAACCAAACAACGAAGTTTAACAATTATATACAAGTTGAAGCTTTTCAAAAAGCTAGTATGACTTCAGCATTTAATCAATATGAAAAAGGAAATGTTAGTGTAACAGCATCTCAATGATACAAATAATCTAATATATAACCATTGGTAAATGCTCGAATAATAAAAATGTGTTTACAATACCGACGTTAGGTTTGTTATAATGAAAGAAGACCTTTGGCTGATGTATAATTTATTTGGTTTTAAAATGCCTGCGTTTTTTCTGACAAAGAGAAAAGATATTATGGTAACAATACATCACCCGCTGACTTTCCAAATACTTGTGGCTCTAGTTTTTCAATGTCTAAAGAATATGAAAATATTCTTGGATTTTATTTCTACAATCAGAATATGCATTACTGAATACGTAATGTACCATCTAAAATAACTAAACGAACACCCTTTATAAGTCTTTCTTTCAGAAGTGCTCAGTCTTACTTGTTAAATTTCTATACCAGAAGCTTACATTAGGGGTAAGTGCTCTTGTTATATTTTTGAATATACACTCTGTCATTTTGCATACCAGTTTTCTTGACTATTTAATTAATTATATTCAATGTCGGATGGTTTTCGGAAGTATTTGTCTAAGATGTGATCTTGCTCTGGTGATGTAAGACGACTAATCATTTTTACGCTGTAGCATTGTGTGGCTTTATTGCAGTAAATCATTTAATCATAAAACTAACAACTAGTCTGAATCTTCAGCCTTTTAATCACGTTTTGTTTTGATTACTCTACTGTACGTGTGCTTTCTCAAATGATCTTAGCGCCCATGGTTCTTGTAATGTGCGATTTAAACTAGCTCTGAAAAAAATATTCTTTTATTTTGAGTCAAGTGATCACGAAGAGCCAGCGCGATATTATATATGGAAATGCACCAAGCCTGATCAAATGGCGGACGTTGCAAATGTGTCATTATTTAAGGTAAATAAAAATCTCATTTATATTTCTTTTCTTTATTCTCTATATACGAAAGGCTAAGATAGTCTTATTTTATATTTCCAAATGATTAGTTGGTGTTCAAAAGTTCGGTTATGATTTTTCCAATGTCCAAGACAAATTGATCTGATGCGAGTAAACATGATACTTTGTAATGAACGATATTTTTTCCTGTATAACACATTTTATGTTCAGCTTCTTGTGCTATTCGGACAGATGCTTCGCATCGCATGGCGCATGCGAAGCAGGATATGACCATACTTGTGGAACACCTAGCTCATATCATTATTGATTCAACAAGAGTTTGCATTGCTCAAAGCTGTATTGTTTTATGTTCGCTGTTTACATTCTTCTGTATATTTGTTGATGCGATTGATTTGTCTCGGTCTTGTAAAGGTCAGAATATTTCTATTTTTGATTCGTCATTACTAATAATTTGTGTTCCATGTTTTCTTCATTACTGCAAACCAATGATTTATTAATATTTCAGGATCGTGGTGTTTAATTGATTTGATGATAAAATTTTAGCAATATTACGTTTCTTGAATGTCGTAAAATAACTAGGTATGACCAGGATATAATATGCATATTTTGCATTGGCTATTATATCTATTCTATATCTTATTAAAAGTGGTGAAAAGCCTGGTAGTCATACATGTAGTAAAAAAAAATTCCAGGACCAGAGATACATTTTTTAAGAAGACTCTTTGTTGACGACTTTAATGCACACATCTAACATACGGCTATATTATAATATATATCGTTGGAAAAGCTTATAATATCTATGTTTGTGTTGCCCAGTCGTAAAAAAAGTCTTAGACTGCAATTTCTGTTGAATCAGGTAAAGAATGAGCATTCGTAAATTTTGCTAAAATTAAACAAAATACCATTTTCATGTTCTTTTACGATATATATTTTTCAGAATCCTACATAGACCTGATCGATAGAATATAATACAATAATATAAAAAAAAAAACTTGAATTGATAGGTAAATTCAGCAATATAGACAAAACTGCAGTTCTTACAAAATCATCGAAAAATAAGAAAATATGCGGTAAAGCAAAATATTTCTTAGGAAATCAATATTTCTATGACCTTTTTAAAATGAATATATATATTGTTTGAAGTCCAAGGAAATATTTTGACATCATTTTAAATTGAAATTAATGTACATTGTTCTGGAAACAGCCTTCTATTGAAGCTTTTACAGTTGCCCAAAATACGGCCTTTTGCAAAAAGGGATCATTTTGCTTTTCTATGATTAGATAATACATCGATTGTTGTCGGTATCAGGATGAAAATGATTTCACACAACGTAAGAAGGCGTAATAAAGGTGTGAAAAGGAATACGCTAGCTTTATACACTAATAATATGTGTTTTAAGGTTGAACTTGTTTACCTTTAGTGTGTATGCTGAAATGCCAACATGACTTTGCTCTTAAATCGTTGGCATAATTGAAATCAGTAACTTGCATTTTGAAGCACTTGGTCGTCATTTACATTATATATTATATCATCTTAAAAGGAGGATGCTTTTGCTGTTTTTGTTTAAAACAGTTTTATGTTAAGAAGTTTAACCACGTTCAATAGCTGGAAGATACAAAGGGTAAATTAAAAAGTCGTAAACCGAGAGAAGCCATGGCAAAAAACTTTTATCCAAAATACAACATTAATATTTTAAAGTGCGTTTGAAAAGTGACTGTTAATCTTTGTATTTAAAATTTTCATTCCTTTCATACATAATATGTAATTGTTATGGTGACAGAATATGCAATTGTTCTGACATCTTGAAAATTAAGAAATTGTTCATCCTAGAACTTTGATCTTGGCTGCACAGAAATTATACCGTACAAATACAGACAGGGCAAACATATAGTACAAATGATATGCTTTCAGATTGTATATATGATTAATCAAGGCGACAGTAGTTTACCCGGCTATGTTCAAATCTCATAACTCCGTTAATAAGAGATAAATCAATGTAACAAACAAAAACTATTAATGTCAATCCACTGCCAACGAACCTGCTAGAATTCAAATTTGAATTCGAGTTTTGAGAAAATTTCAGCGGAATCATATTGAAAATGGGGAAAATAGTAAATTCTATACGTGTAGGCTGTTTAAAATCCACATAGAACAAGGAAATTCGTTGTCTTCCTCACGAGACGGAATTGAATTTCCCATGACAAATTATGTATGTCGATGAAAGACTGTTTCCCCTTTTTTGTTTATACAATGCTTATTTTTGAATTATTGACATGTCTTTCGTTTATTCGTCGCTACGTGTTGATAATGTTGAGCAACGAAATCATATACGATGATTAAAATTCAGACCTATATTAACTCGTTTGCTCGTACATATAAGCGAGTATATCACGAAAACAGAGAACTGTATTTTAATTAGATTGCATCTTTTGTTGTGTGCGTTCTTTTACTACAGTCTAAAGCAAGTGCGTTTTAGATCTGTATTAATCAGTTATAGAATTTGAGGCTTGTTTTTTTCCGAGGTGGAACTTAACAAAAAAAAAAAAAAAAATATAAAAAAAACACACATTTCATAAAACCTATTATACCAAATTTCAGTCCAAACTGATAATTATTGTATTTAACTTTTCCGTTTCACGTTTCAAGTACGATGTCGTGTAGGTGAAAAAATGCAGTCTACAAATTGGCACCAACGGATGTATTGGTCCAAACTTTGTAAAATAAGTTACCTGAAGCAAACTTCTTGATAAGATGAGTTCAGCCATCTGTTAATTACAAATCATTAAATCACTGTCGACACTTTTTCAGTCTGAGACTTGGGTTTTTTTATTAATCTACTATTAGTGCAAGTATAAGAAAGCTTTTCTTATCTCTCTACACACAATGTCAGTTTTGTTTGAATCAAAGTTTTCTCCATCCAGGAAATCACTGAGAACTCTCTTTTTAAGTTATGACATCATGTTGACCATTTTGTCCATCTTCCTATCTATCCTCGTCTTAAAATCATGGTCGGGATAGGCAAACAAACATATTTTTAACGTTTTCCTATAAGTTCAAATGATCTTTTTGGCATTTTCTAAGGTCCCAACTCTCTCAGACAAAGCTGATCTAAGATAGATTTAGCTATTATTTTGAGGTTCCTTTTGGTCATAGATCTCCTCGTTTTTTCAAGAATTTATACCTCTTTGGCTTTCAGATTTTAGGTTTGGGCGTTGAGAACTAGGTCAATCTAGAAAAACGCTTAGGACACAAAACTTTTATAAAGTGTTATTTTCATTATCTACAATACCCGTATGTAAACTAACATCCGTGTTGGTTAAAACTAGCATGTATTGATGATTTCTGTACAGTTCCGAGTTATTGTAATTATTTTCCCCGTTAAAATTGATTTTCAGTGGTAGAGTGGAACAGAATAGAGGGCGCCAATATAATACTATTCAAACAAAGACGTAAGTCAGTGAAACTATATACCACACCCAGATACTCAACAAAAATTACCCTTTTAACATCCGAACGATCTAGCATAACAAACATATTTCAGTAGCTGCGATTACTCTTAGATCGTGTCTTTTGTCTTTTATCGTTTTGCTAGTTCTAATTGCTTCGTGGCGATTTGATAAGTTAAGCCCCTTCCAAGTGATTTTACTGTTTGTTCTATCATTGTGCTGTCACACCACTGTCTCAGGTTAGGGAAGGGTTAAGCGCTTGCAAACATGTTTTAACCTCCCACATTATGCCTGTCCAAGTTGGGAGCCTGTAATTATGTGGTTGTCGTTGGTAACTCTGCTATAATTTTTGTTTGTTTATTGTTTTATCATTAATCAGACCGTTGTTTTTTCTCTCATTTGAATTGTTTTATATTTTGTCATGTCTTTATATAGCTTGCTATGCGGTATGGTTTTCGTTCAATATTGAAGCCCGTACTGTCATTGGTATGTCAGGTGGTCTCGAGTGGATAGTTGTCTCATTTGAAATCATACCACATCTTCTTACTTTTATATTTCATTTTGACTGAACCATGTGGTTTGATTGACAAAATTTCGTCTAAAAACTTAATATACATAATCCAAAAACACTTCACAGAAAAAGAATTGATTGAATGTTGATATAAAGTCATCTGAACATGACCTCTTATGAGATATCTTTAAATCATAGACGCTGCGCGAACAAATATAACGAAGAAGTCTGAAAGATCTTATTTCAATCAGATGGACCAGTAGAAACTTTAAGCAAACACAAATCTATAAATCATCAATATACATTGAACATTTTTTTAATGGCTTTTGTGGTGACATGATATATCTGATAGGGCATAGTCAGTAAGAGATACGGTATAATAAGGCCACTTTTTGGCCCTTTAATTCGAAAATCAAAACGTATTATAAATCTACAAAGGAACACCATTCGGATGTTCACAAGACATAAGTCTGTCAAACATCAGTATTTATTTTTATTTCTAAATTTTGTCTTGCATATTTGCAATAGGGCTTCAAACTTCTTTACTGTAGTGCAAAACAGCAAAAGAAAAACCTGCCAAAATAGCCTTATTTTGATATCTTAACATTTAGTTATGAGCAAGAGCTTTACCCCAAAAGATATTGGCATAAAATGTATTTTATTAAGAAGTACATGTGTGTAAAACATTGTTTGGTAAACCTCTTGCTCATGAACGTTTTTTTTTCAAAAACTATGCGTGAAATGGTTATGTTGAATTTCGTCTTTCAAATTAGCATTAGGGCTTCAAACTTCTTACATTTAGTGCAAAACAGCAAAAACTGCCAAAATAGCCTCAATTTGAGATCTTATGATTATTATCTAAAAATGAGCAAGAGCTTTACCTAAAATAATATTTGGCTGCAAATTGTATTTAACAAAGCTGTTAATGTTTGATAAATATCTTTTTGGGTAAACTTCCTACTCGTTTGTATTTTTATTTTAAAACAATGCGTGAAATGGCCATTTAAGGTCAAATACATAAATCATAGTGACATAGCAAGTGACCTTTCTGCACGTAAGTTTCCTGATTAAAGCAACTAGTTCATTTATTAAAAAATAAAAGTTTACTATTTTTTTGCATTTTCAGGGACGAAATGATGGCTCTTATCATACCTCCTCCTTCACTATTCATTTAACTTAAACATCATTCGAAACACTAAAGTTTTTCTATCCCCAGGCATAGATGATCTCAGTCGGAGTTGGCACAACTTTTTGGGATTTTTGGTTTTCAAATCTCTTCAACTAGCAACTCTTCATTGGCCCGTCACTGGTGAGACTTATATAGACGAAAAGCACGCCTGGCGTATTCAATCATAAGCCTTGTATCTTTGATGTGTTTTTAAAATAGATTTTTTTTTATTTTTCTCATATTCCAAATATAAACATACCCTTTGAAATACTAATTGTCGGTGTTTTTTTTTATTCAAAATCTTTACTTATAATATAATAACCATTGCCATCAGTCATTTTAACATTAGTCATCGGGGTTTTTAAAACATAAAATCACACTTTTTACCAGTTAAACTAGCAACTTTACGATAAATATAATCGAATACTCAAGAATTATATGTTTTAATCATTTCCAGTTTTGATTTTAGTGCCATAAAAAATAGAAATAACATAGCCTCAACATTTTCATATTACAAGGCAAAGTTCTCATTTCACTTGGATCAACTGATGGCAGGGGAAAAACAGCTACTTCTTAGTATTGAGTTGCTGAATTCTGTTTGGCCTTGCTAGATGTAGAGAAACACAGCCACACCCGGTCTGGATAGGGACATTACATCTATCTATATTTGGAAGAAATCCTTTAAGAAATACTTTTACAACTTTTTAAAGTGGTCTGTGTGCGATCTTCTATAAGGTAAGAATTTTTAAAAAGTCCTATTTTCCAGTGGCATTCAAATTGTTCCTATTTACCCGCCAGTCCATTCAGTATCTAGAAAATTGACTATAACTGAATTTTAGTTGGAGCAGTGTATAGAATATTTTTTAAAGTTGCTTCTTCTTTCTCTTGATATCCAACTTTAATTGTATTTGAATAAATACTTGTATAGTTGTGTCATATATTTCCATTGAAGGTGACACTGATGATTACAACAACTACTTGTTTCCTTTATTATGATTTATGTTTACGATAAAAAAAAATATATATATTATTCAGTGCTTTAATGCTTAAACCTACAGTAAGGTTTAGAAAAGAGAAATCTTGCAGTTTATTCATCATTGCAAATAGATACCAATCACATTGATTTGACAATATGTAGTTCTAAACTTGGAACTATCTGCTTTTCTTTTGATTCCTATTATTAAATCTAAAATCTGATGTATTCTGTGAGTTTACGATCTTGGAAACGGCGTGACAAATCATAATCAGTGGTACTATTATCCAAAAAGAATTCAAAAATAAAAAATAAAACCAAAAATGTAAAGGATGATACAGCTCACTGTGGATGAAACTATCTTTGACTTCTGTTAATAAATACAAGGTATCTCCGTATAGCTGGCAGAGGGAAACAATCAATTGTAAAACATATCGGTAAGGACTGTTGCTTAGATAAGCTATCACGGTCAGGAAACACAAAGGACCATCAATAACTGCGGTTATTCCTTCCATGCATACAGTGAACGTATCAGAGCTGGAAAAAAATACAAAAGAGACAGTTAGTAATTTATTGTTTTCAATCGTTCAATCGGGTGATAAATTCGATCAATTGATTGACATACTAGATTCGTATGTGGATTTGGAAATTATTGCAGGTTATTGAAGCTTGGTTTAATATATTTATACGCTGCAGTCATGTTTGCAATTCCTTTGGCAACTATGATAACAATTCATTGATCAATATACACTTTACATCTATGTCACTTGGGCTCTGGTGGATAGTTTCCTAATTGTAACAATCATAAAAAAAGTATTAACAAAAATACCGAACACCAAGGTAAATTCGCAAAGGGGGGAGTCCATAAAACCTCACAAAATCAAACGTTAGACTATATCAACCAAAGGAACGAATGAAAAACAACTGTCATATTCTTTACTAATGCGCACTAAATTAAACTGTTTATTTTAATTAGTTAAATAGTTGGAAAAGCGAAATTATGGATTATAGATTGTTATGTAAATAAAGTTGTAATTAACTCAGGCAAAATTAGTCTTGCACGGTTTTGATCGTCCTGGTTAGGACCTTTTAGTTTTAATGCTGTTAAACGAACATGATCATCTATATTTTAGCCCTCAAAATAAATTTTAAATTATAAATTATAAATTATCAAGAATACATGTTAATTGATGATTTTTTGTTTGTTTGTATGTTTGCTTTAAAGGATTTTTTCGTGGTAGATGATCAAGAGGGGTTGGGCCGGTAGGAGTGGGGAGCGGGGGCTTAACATTTTGATGTTAAGTTAATGCTTTTCTTTGTTTCATAAAAGTATTACTCTTTTAAAAAAAAATACAACGAATCTCCTAACCCTGAGATGTCCAACAAATTATAATGACAATATTATCTGTGTCGAAAGGCAGTGGTCAAATTGAGAATTCAGATACAATATATACATATGTAACAGTGAAGCTGTGAAGAAAAACACCAGTGTAAACAAAAATTCCCAACGGTTTTTAAATAGAAAGAAATGAAAAAAATATAATATGTTTAAATATACAACAAATAAACTATTGACAAACAGTATACTCACGTAATATATCGACTATCACCTTTGCCGTATTCCTTCCCTATAACAAGACAAAAAATAGAGATATGGTCAAGCGGAAAGGACAAGATGAATTTCTTGACACACATGTATATACATAATACAAAGATAAATATGAATTAATGAAGATGTGGCGTATACACCGATGGGTCCGCAGCTCAACAACACAACAAGACATCTGGAATTCAGTATACGGACTTAAACAAGTAAGAAGTGTCTATTATATACATCATGCTAGGCACTACCGTTCTACGTCTCAGCTTATTTAACAGACACCATCAAATCTGCTGTTGTCGCTATTTCCAGCGGTATATTCTACATAATCCCCATGAACCAACAGAATATCTATCGCAATTCTAAATGTATTTAATAACAAATCAGAATAGCTTTCGTAATTAAAAAAGTTTTATCATTTTAAATTTTGTTGGTATAAACCAGGATCATTTAAATATCCCGCTTAGGTAACTATTGAATCAGATGTTTTAAACAGTTCATAATATAGAACTTTCCTTATACAATCTAGTTCATACTTGATCATACTTACACATTTCTGCCAAATAAGAGGATCCTCCTGCTAATGTTGAATGATTAAAAGCAAAATATCCCTCCAGGATTGTGTGGATGAATCCACATATTGTGAACCAGCATAGCAACAGTCTGTATCCAACAGTAAATTTCTTCTTTGTTGTATAAATCCAGGTGATTATAAACACGATCAAAACTAACGAAAAAAATATACCCAGTAATTCTTTGATACTGATCTTGTTTGGTTTATAATGAGGAATGGATAAATCTCTAGGAAAGTATGGATGTTTAAAAATGCCATCGGATCCCATTGCGATATATACTATGGCTAGTAATAATGTTTATTCAGGTTCGACAACTGTATACGGATAAACGATTTTTAATTGGCTGAAACAGGGATTTGAATTAGTAGCTATACAAATCCTTGCCTGGAAAAATCCGAATTTAGCTTGTTAAAAAATAGTTTATTCTATTGTATGTTCTTCTTAAGATGAAGTCCTACTTTATTGAATCATTTTGACTGTATTTTGATCTCTTTTGCCTTTAAAATCGCTTATGAAAAATGTTCATGATCAGTTTATCCTGTAACTAAATGCGGATAATCATATTGGTCTGAAAAAAACAATTAGAAAAAAAAATCGGAATGGAGATTCATTTAAGAACTGCTCGGACAGGAAAATAGGGGTGCCAGTATCGTAGGACACGAAGGTGAAATCCCGGAAGAGAAAATAATAAAAGTAGGATGCGGCATGCCAACAGCTCTATTCAATTATTTAAGTCTTTATGACAATACAAAATTCCCAAGTATAAAGGAATCCATTCAAATTGTGTGTTATTAAAAGGAATAAGGGGACGACCGTTTGATACTCTGGGGGGGGGGGGGGGGGGGGGGCAGGGGGCAGGAGGATTTTGAAAATAAATAACTCAGCCTTGATAATCACAAAAATAAATGGTTTGTTCTGTGGTAGTTTGAAAATCAATTACTTGACTTGCAATGTATTGAAAATAAATTACTTGACTTGCAATGTATTGAAAATAAATAACTCAGCAGGTCTAATCGAAAGTATGAGATGGCACCAGATTCTTCATAAATTCATCTTTTTTCCAAAAAAAAAATCGGGAAACACTTCCCATATCTTTTAATAATAAAAGTATAAATATTATTTAAATATACTTGAAATGTCAGAAAATTGGTTTCATTTAACTTGAGGTTAATTGTCTCAAGAACACTTACCTCACTTTTATTAAATCAGGGCCGTAACTACATTGAGACAAATGCCTCATGTAGAAAATTTCAAAACCAAACGCTTGTCTCCATATCAAATTGTGTTCACCGTGAGTGCCTTGCAAGAAGCAAGTTCTGTTCTCCCTCAGACGTAGCCCCTGATTTTTCGGGATCAATGTTTCTTATTTATTTGTCTTTTGTTCATTGATTGACCTTCTGTATTCTGTTAGTGTTGCATTCATTTTAAAAAAAATTGTAATTTAGTAATTTTATTATTAACTTGATCATGAGTTTAAAAAAACACAGCAGCCACAGACTTAACTATGTGAATTACATTTTTGCTTTTAATATCATGCATATTTGTCTTTTGATGTTGTTCCTAGAAACTTAAGTCTTACACTGAATCTATAACGTGATTTTGCTTTGAGACCAAAATATTGTCATAAAATTATTAAAACAGAACTTGCATTTTCAGTTTAAGAAAGGGTCTGGGGAACACCCAGAAGGCATGATTTTGCATCATTTGTTCTATAGCTTCTTGGGCCTTCAGCGGTTCAAATACCCTTCAAAAAAAATTTTGCCTCGCTCCGCTCGGCGAAACATGTTTGCCAATACTTTTAGAAGAGCCTTAGTTTCAACCAAACTTTAATACTGTGTATGTATGCAATACATGTATATGCATTGGGGGATATAAAAGATTCATTTCTGCAGAGGATAATAATTAATTCTGATTAAATGGTACATAATGACTTGACTATACATGAATTATTTATAATAAACAAATAATTTAAAAATTGTATGTTTTCGAATATTATAAATATAGTTGTGAAAATAAATAATCAGTCCCTTGCTTTGATGAAAATGGAAAATCTTGCTTCAATAGTGCAGAAAATAGATAATCTGTCCTCTTAGTTTACAAAAATAAATAACCGATTCCAAAACAAATCCTCCTGCCCCCCCCCCCCCCCCCCCCCCCCCCCCCCCCCAGAATATCAAATGGTCTTCCCCTAAACAAAAAAAATTGTTACCGTTTCCAAGCTGTAACTGGTTTTGTATCTGGCCTCATTTTTTACATAGTTACAGATTTTTAGTCCTACTGTTATCTTTTATTAGAAGGTTACAAAGTTTGGCAAAGGAATCATTTTCTTTTTCATGGATCTTCTAAATCAACCATGATATCTACTGATCGCAACACAAAATTGCGTTCTATTCACAGTATACATGGAAGATACATATGTACACCGTATTATATATTTTCCGTTCAGCATATCCAATTAACAAGGAAAACTGCATACATGTACTTTATATGGTGTATGGCTAAATCTGGTCTTCATGTTAAATCTATTGGTCTCGGACAAACTATTGAACCGTACGCCTAATCTTTAGATGACTTAATGGATAACGGACCCAATAAGGAATTTTTCGGTAGAAAAAGACTCACTAGTTGATTTCCAAGTCTGATGGTAAGACGTCAAGATAACAGTAGTTATAGATTCTAGGATGGCATATTTTAAATAATACAACCCATCTTTCAACTTACTCTACATGGGAGGAAACTCATCAAGTTTAAGATACCATACAAATAAGTTTGTGTTAGCCAGACGCACGTTTCGTCTACATACTGGCGTTCGAATCAAAACAATTGGAAGGTCAAATGAAATAAAAGTTGGAGAGCGTTGAAAATCGAAAATTCCGAGAGAAAAAAAGTTTCAAATACGACTGAAGCAATCTATGATTAGGTTAGAAAAGCCTTCGTGTTTCGTATAATTCAACATTCTATAAACAGTAAATTTACATAAATTGAACATTTCAATGATATTACATGTCAACACAAAAGTGTTAACTCCTAAGCTGGTGATACCCTCGAGGACGAAACGTCCATCATCATCGACCCAGTAGTTGTAAAAACTCATGCACCAAAGAGATCCGGCTTAATATTTTTGGTATTCCATACGCACGTTTCGTCTTCATAAGACTCATGGGTGACTTTAGATTCAAAACAGTTGAAAGGTCAAATGGAATACGAAGTTAAAGATCATTGAAAACCAAATTTTCCAAAAACGTTATGCCAAATACGACTCAGGAAATATATTGCTTGGGGTAGAAAAACCTTCAGAATAATTCAACATTTTATCAGCAGCAAATTTACAGAAAATTAACTTATCAATATTTCATGTCAGCACAAATGTGCTGACTACAGGGTTAGTGATACCCTCGGGGACGAAACGTCCACCAGCAGGTGCATCGATCCAGTGGTTGTAGAAACTCATAAAAATTAACTGGCTTATAATTTTTCTTTTTTGGTACCTTGACACGCGTTTTGTCTCTCACGATTTATTTTATGAAAAATTCGTAAGGGTTCCGCGGAACCCAGTGTCTCGCCTACTTTTGCTGTTAGTCGCAGGCTCAACAAAAGTGGGGGGAAATTATTAAAAATTTTCCTCTAGATACTATCTTTTGATAGTAAGAAGCTTCTATCCAAGTTTGGTAAAAATCCAGGATGGTTTATGAATCTAATAAATGTTTTAAAAACTTTAACTGCAGACTGTATGTAATGCTAACTGGAAGAAAAACTAAGTCCATTTATAAGTAATATACGGAAAAACAGGAAATAGATTTTTACAAAATTTCCTTCTAGATACAGCTTTTGATCATAAACAAGCTTCTGTCCAAGTTTGGTAGAAATCCAGGATAGTTTAAGAAAGTTATTAAAATTTCAAAAACTTTAACCACAGAGTGAATATTTGTGGACGCTGCCGCCGACGACGACGACGACGGAATGTAGGATCGCTATGTCTCGCTTTTGCGACAAAAGTCGCAGGCTCGACAAAAAGCAGAAAACAAGATAATTCCATCATTGTTAGCCTCTTCAATACGAAAATCAAAAAGTATTATGAATTTAAATTAATAACATCTCAAAGATATTCACAAGATTTGTGGCAGTCCACAGTAAGTATTTGTATTTGTGGAAATTTGTCGTACAAATGTACCTTAAGGCTTCAAAACTTTTTTCATTCATAAAAATAAAACAGAAAAATCTCATACCACAGCCATATCAAAAAGGAAGTTTTGCCATACAATGTCACATACAATGATGTTGATATATAGATGTATATCTTTTAAAGCTCTAATTAATTTATCAGTTTGTAAAAATCTGTGAAAATCGCTAAAATTAAGTTAAATTTGTCAATTTAAATGATTCCGTGGTGACAGCACAACTGACAGCATTCTCTAGGCAACATGGAATATCATTCATGTTTAATAGATTCAAACACATTTTGAAAGAATTGACGGGCTTTACTCTTTCGCTGAATTCTATACAAGACAAAAAAATAGCTTGAATCCAGACATAATATGTACTATATACTCGTGTCTGCTTTTACCTTACCAGTGGGATTTGTTCGGTTGTCTTTGCAAAGCTAGATCCATTAGAGAAAAAGTACACCAATACACTTAGAGATCACTATGGCAAAGATGAAGGCCGCAGTAGCGGTAAATAAATATTTTACAATATTTATACTAGGGATGTCAACTCGGTGAACAATTACTATATTTTATCGAGCGATACTCCAGTACTCGCTCGGGAATATATTTACAACACGGGAACACAAAAATACGTACTTTATATTTTCTATGGCTTGTTGTTCAACGGTCGAAAAACCATCTACATAAGTTTCTGGGAAAAGGAATTACACACCATAATTAATAGCTCTTTACCTACAAGTACTAATTAAGTAAAAACAATAATCTCATCAACATAATTTAATGAACACCTATTTAAAAATTATAACAAGGACAAACCATATCAACCAATAGTATTTGGTAATCGCCAGGAAAACGCATTTAATGTTTACAAAGGCGTAATGATAAGAAGTTTAACTAATCACTGAGGGTCTTCAGAGGATGCAACGAATTTATTTTATTTGGATACATTTTCTTATCAACTATTATTGGGGACAGTCGGTTTTGCAACTTTGTCCTGCAGACGAAAAAATTTGCTCTGACGGTACCGATTGGACAGAATGGCTAAGACATGTTTAGTTTAAAGTGTTAGCCTAGGTATAGCCCACGTATTTTCGGAGGCATTTTAAATAACAATTTATTATATACTTAGTAGTAAATA